GAGGGAGAGACCCAGAGTCCAGCCCACACAGGCCCTCCCTGTCCCTGCTAAGCTGCGGGCGGGTAATGAGGAAGGACCCTCAGCTCCAGTGGAGACATAGACAGGTGCCTGCAGAGGTGGAGCCCAGAGCAGGAAGCTGGTGTCCTCCTGGGAGGCAGCGTGAGGACAACACAAGGAGCTCACAGTCCTGGGTTCCAGTCCCAGCCCTGCCCCGTCCAGGCTTGGTGACCTGGGGGAGGTGATTAACCCCTCTGAGGCTCAGTGAAGTGGATGGTGGGGTCAGCATCCCTGGTGCATGACTGCTGTGAGGTGAGAGGAGATGAGTAACAGGCCCCAGAAGGAGTCTCACACACAGTAGGTGCTCATAAAATGGCATCACTGGCTCATTCATGACGTTGTGAGGGGGAGACAGGCTTCCAGGGCTTCCAGATATGATTCATTTCCTGGATTTGTTTCCAAACCCTCCATCCAGGCTGTCCCAGGCCCCGTCGTCACCAAGGGGAGCCCCGTGACCATCTGGTGTCAGGGGACAGGTGATTAACCCCTCTGAGCCTCAGTGAAGTGGGTGGTGGGGGTCAGCATCCCTGGTGCATGAGGTGAGAGGACATGAGTAACAGACCCCAGCAGGAGTCTCACACACAGTAGGTTCTCATGAAATGGCATCACTGGCTCATTAATGACGTTGTGAGCGGGAGACAGGCTGCCAGGGCTTCCAGGTTTGATTCATTTCCTGGATTTATTTCCAAACCCTCCATCCAGGCTGACCCAGGCTCTGTCGTCACCAAGGGGAGCCCCGTGACCATCTGGTGTCAGGGGCCTCTGCAGGCTAGTGCCTATGTTCTGTATAAAGAGAGGGGCTCTGACCACTAGGATATGAGGATCCCACAGGACTCCAGCAACAAGTCAAGTTTCCTCACTGAAGCTCGGACCTCACCCCACCCAACACTGTACCAGTGTGCATATTTCACCACTGGTGACATAAGCTGCTGGTGTGACAACCCCGTGAAAGGCAGGGCCAGCATCCCAGTGACCACCACCTGTGTGTCTGTCTGTCCACCCTGCTGGACCCACGGTCTCCTCCATCTGCTCAGCTGAGGCCACAGGGAGAAGACGCCATGACCCCCACCCTCAAGGCTCTGCTCTGCCTCAGTGAGAATGGAGGAGGGAGGGGAGCCCTGGTATGTCAGGACCCCAGGACTCAGGAGGCTCATGGGGAGGAGGGTGCTGCTCAGGTTTCAGGGCAAATCTCTCACAGGGACTCTCTTCCAGGGCTGAGTGTGGGCCTTAGGACCCCAGTACAGGCAGGTGAGTCTGTCCACAGTTTCCCAGGTCCTGCTGTTATCAGGGGACATGGGCCACCCCCCAGGCAGCAGGGGAAAGGGTACAGATCTGTCTGACAGACAGGGGGCATCTGGGACTGAGACCAGGGGACCAGGGGTGGGAATGTCCTGTGACCCAGTCTCTGATTCTTTCCAGGGACCCTTCCCAAACCCACCCTCTGGGCTGAGCCAGGCCCTGTGATCCCCTGGGGGAGCCCCGTGACCATCTGGTGTCAAGGAACACGAAAGGCTAAGGAGTACATAATTTGTAAAGAGGGAAGACCAGCACCATGGAAACAACAGAAGCCACTGGAGCCTGGGGACAAGGCCAAGTTCTCCATCACACACGTGACAGAGCATGATGCAGGAATATATCACTGTTACTATCTCAGTTCCACTGGCTGGTCAGGGCACAGTGACTTCCTGGAGCTGGTGGTGACAGGTGAGAGGACACTCAGGGGTCCCAGCTTCAGGCCCTGCTCTCAGAAAGGGGGTCTGCCCTCAGGGTATCTCCCTCTCACAGCCCAGCCCTGGGGGACATAAGGGGGGTGTGAGCCCCATTTAACACACTGCCTCCTCCTCTCCTAGGATCCTACAGCAAACCCAGCCTCTCAGCCCTGCCCAGCCCTGTGGTGACCTCAGGAGGGAAAGTCACC